TACTACTACTACCACTACTGCTACGATTTCTACTACTACTACTACTACTACTACTACTACTACGACTATCACTACTACTACTACTACTACTACTACTACTGCGACTACGACTACTACTACTACTACTACTACTACCACTACTACTACTACTACGACGGCGACTCCTACTATTGATGCTACGACTACTACGAGTACGCCTACACTTACAACTACTACGACTACTACGAAGACGACTACTACTACTACTACGACTACGACTACGGCGACTACCACTACTACTACTACTACTACTACTACTACTACTACTACTACTACTACTACTACTACGACGACGACTTCTACGACTACTACGACTACTACGACTACGACTACGACTACTACTACTACTACTACTACTACTACTACTACTACTACTACTACTACTACTACTACTACTACTAATACTACTGCTACTACTACTACTACTACTACTACTACTACTACTACTACTACTACTACTACTACTACTACTACTACTACTACTACGACTACTACTACTGCTACTACTACTAGTACTACGACTACGGCTACAATTACTCAATACTACTCCTTACTACTACTACGTACGCTGCTACTTTTTTGTGTTTTTTTTTACTTTTTTAACTAGACTACACTTACTACTACTGCTAACCTAATCCCGCTTACTACTATACTAGACTACTACACTACTACTATACTACTAACTACTACTATACTACTGTGTACTACTACTACTACTACTACTACTACTACTACTACTACTACTACTACTACTGCTAGTACCACTACGGTTATTATTACTACTACTACTACTACTGCTGCTACTACTACTACGACTACTACTACTACTACTACTGCTACAACTAATACCGCTACTACTACTACTACTACTACTACTACTACTACTACTACTAGTGTACTACTACTACTACTACTACTACTACTACTACTACTACTACTACTGCTAGTACCACTACGGTTATTATTACTACTACTACTACTACTACTACTACTACTACTGCTACTACGACTACTACGACTACTACTACGACTACTACTACTACTACTACTACTACTACTACTACTACTACGGCCACAACCGCAACTACGACCACGACCACGGCCACGACCACGACCATGACCACGACTACGAAGAGGCACGGAGATTCTGAATCGTGTAGGGTAGCACACAGAGGGGTGATATCGTCAGGAATAATAATCGCCCAACGCATACCAGCACGGCGAACAATACCTGGCAAATGATTCGGCCGCCGACCCCCGCACCTGATTGCCAAGCCAGACTTTTGGGGGGGGGCATGTGCAGCATTACAACGCCCTGCAGTTGTCGAGGAAAGCGCCTGGCGGCAAGGCCGAACCCAGCTGCGCGCAGCAGATGTCGTAAGCCCCCTTGCCCCATTCCCCCATGTAGGCGGCACCCACTACGGGGTGGTGCGAAGGGAGCGGCTTACTAGGAAGGCGGAGGTGCTTCGTAGAAGCCAGGAGCACTCTTAAAAGGCCCTGGATGTTTCCAAAAAGGGATGTTTCTTAGAATGCTTCTCAGGATGCTTCCTAGGATGCTTCTCGAAAGGTCCTGGATGCTTCTTAGAGAGCTTCTTAGAAACCGAGCGGGCTTCTAAGAAGATCCCCCTGTCTTGGTAGAACCCCCGCCTCCTTCTTGGAGGGCCGCCCCCTTGCGCCACCCCCGTGGGCACCGCCAACCCCAAACACCCACTGTCCTGATTTCTTCCGTACGGGATCCCCGAGAGTCCCGACCCTTTGCCCAAGGCCGACACTTCGCCTCGTGCCGTTCCTTGACGGACCCGGGGCCCTCGTGAAACCGAAAACGCAAACAGAAAAAACAGCATACACAAAAAAAAAGGAAAACCAAACAACGAAACAAGACGCTGCAACTTTTCACGACACAAACGCCTCTGGGAGGAGGAGGAGGAGGAGGAGGAGGAGGAGGACGAGGACGAGGAGGAGGAGGAACCCGAAAATTTTGGCCTCGAGCACCCCCCGGGCCTTGACCTTGCCGGCCCCGTCGGCGGCCACCTCCGGCGCCTCCTCGACCAGGGCAGGTCGAGCCTCGGAGCGGGCGAGGCGCATCGGGAGCGGCCAAGTCCACCCCCCCCTAGTCATCACCCCCCTCTTCGCCTCCCCCGAGAGCAGGGGGCTCGATGCCTCCAGGTGCACTGACAGACCTCGGCCCTTCCTCCCCGGACCCGCTCGCGTCGCGAAGCAACCGCGACGGGATGCGTTTCGCCGGTTTCGGCCTCCGGGGGCCCTCGCCGGGCCCAAGGACCTTCCAAAATTATCCCGGCAAAGCAACCTAACAGCGATGTGTAGGAGCATATCTGGAAGCATTCCCCTTAAGATACAGACGAGAATCCAGTTGTAGAATTCTGCTGTTCTCGCAGTCGTAGTCGCATTCGCGATGACAGTCGCAGTGGCAACGGCAGTCGCAGTCACAGCCTCAGCCTCA